AGCATCACCTTAAAGCCTGATATTTGAAAGGCATCATTTCATTCCGTGTAAATCCTTTTAAAAGACGTGAGAAGGTACTTATAAATGAAGTTCAGTAACTGCCATAATATCTGATAGCACTGATTTGTATAAATATGTGATGCTAGTGGAAAAATTAGGCATTTAACAGACCAATAAGTCTTATTCATGTATAGTTCAAACAGAAAAGCCTGATACACTGAGGATTGTAAGGTACCCTAACATATTTAATCTGTTTTGTTTTTTAATTGCTGTATTGGAGGGTTCTCCTTGAAGTGAAAGAAAGAATGAAGTAAAATATTCCAGATGTTTTTTGTATATTGCTGTAGGGCTGCTTTTTTACTTGCATGGGTGATTTTAAAGTTAACAGTAAGTCTGTCCCTTATAAATAAATGGGGGAAGGGAAGATACATTCAATAGAAAAAGTCATTAAGGTAGTTGACATTGAATCTAGGAGGGTACTAGAAATGCATTTCGTCCCATGACTTTTTCTTCTCTATTATTGACGTTTCTTTAACTGGACCTTTGCTTCTCAAGGAGTATCTGTTCATTTGAAGGGTTCAAATGTTCTTCAGCACTTTAACATGTAGTAGTCAATGCATAAAGCTCCACATCTGGTAAACTGAAGCACAGTATGTAGAAAGTGTGTTCAAGGGGATGGAAAGATTAATGTCTACCCCTATTGACAATTGCACATTTTGCTGGTGCTTTATGACGCTTTAAATAATTCTTAATAGTTCTCTTATTTCCTGAAGTTGACAAAACGTTCCTTTGCTGTCTATATCACCTTTATGGCAAAATGATCTATCGGTACAGCTTTTATTCTTCAGGGATACATTAGCTATCAACCAAATAAGCATTCCATCACCTTTAGTGAATTATGTGTAGTGCAATAATGGCTAAAATCAATTTATGAGACCAGTAAAATTATAAATTTTGTGACTTGTTTTTCAACCTTAGTCTGTAACAGTACATATTTTTGTCGGTAGACATGATTTTAACAGGAGCTATTTAGACTAAAGAGTCCTTTAAAAATTAAAGATTATAATTATTCTGAGGCTTTATCTGCATTGGTATATTCTATTTAGTGGTATAGAGCCTATAATTCTGTTTAAGACATTTTGATGAATGTAGTCATTATGAACTGTTAGGTTTTCTTCAGTATCGTTGTTTTTGTTGCTGTGATAGAGGTGCACAAATTGTGGGCCAGGGTTTTCTGCAGGAAAAAATACCAATGATCCATAGATAAGTGAAATCAATTTTGCTTGGATTTAAGAGGATTATGGAACCATAGATGAGATCAGACCATGTGCAAATAGAAAGAAAGAGAGGGATGTTTTGTTGTTGGGTTTTTTTTTTCCTCCTTCATTCTGCTAATGCTTTTGGTAACATAGGAAAAAATTTGAAAATCACTTCAAATTAAAAGCATAATTAATGTAAAAGCATAAGGAAAAAATATGAGTGGAAGAAAGGGCAAGACAAAGCCCTTTGGATTTGAGTGTGACTGAAATAATTACACAATGAGACAGGAAATGATATGAAATAGCCAATCAAAGAAAAAAATCATGAAGAACTGAAAAAACCTCCAGTCCTGCTCATAGTCCTGTCTTGTGTCACTTTGCTGCTGCCAGCTGAGTTTCTGGCTGGACCCTGCCAATGTTTCTTTTCTGCTAAGACTCATTCTTCTGTACGAGGATTGAGGCTGCTTGGTTGTCTGCTGCATTTTTTCTCCAGAGCTCTTGAGTTCTTTCTTTGAGGATCCAGATCGAAAACTTTTTAAAGGAATGACGAGATAATGACTATAACTCTTAAAGTACATGTGTAATACTGTAGTATTCTTCATATAACAAGTTGCTGTAGTTACAAGGGTGTAAATTGGTTATGAATTGGAGAGCAGCTGATGCTGGGAAAAGAGGTTGTACTCGATCTCTACAGTTAAGAGGCAAAGTGGTGTACACTGGGAGAAAAACTAAGAATTATTCTCTTAACATACTCATGACATGACATAAAATGATTTTTCTCCCAGTGTCACGACTAAAGTACTTATGTATTCAGTACATGTATTATGTATTCTGCTGTTGTGATACATGTACTTATAGGTAATATCTGACCTCTCAAATTAGGTTGACTACCAGCGATTGATATAGATTAAAAGGATTTGCAAGAAAAACAACTTTTTCTTTTATAGGCTCGATTAGCCTTTGTTGTTCCTTAGGTCCCTGATGATCTTGAAAGGAAGGAGAAGGAGATGCATAGCAAGTCTATTTCAGTCCTTGGAAAACTTTTTTTTTTTTTTTTCCTTAATGATGCTAATCTTTTCCTACATCCTTTTTCTCCATAATTCTGGGAGGTCATTTTTAGACCTAAAGGAAGGAATGACCTAAAGGTCGTTCCATCCTAAAGGAAGCTGGCTGTCCACCTCCGAGTGACCAATTCTGTTCTGACCTTTGTGCAGGGATGGAAAAGTGTACAAATATGATATTTTCCATATGCTACTCTGGGAATAATGGTGCCTTTACAACTGTCGTCAGATAACTGATACATTCATAGTGGTATTGCGTAGTGTTATGCTATCAAATTACTATGGGATGAGTAATAGTTGTTATAAGAAAAAGATATAATTCATGTTTCAGAAGGTTTTGAATAGTTGTGATTAAAGGATGGATAAAAATTTTACTTTTCTGGATTTTCACCACTATAATTGCTGACATTTCAATAGCTTTCAACCAAATCTAAGGACTCTTGTTGCGTACTGATATGATGCAGGCTTAGTAGATGTGACAAACCTAAAAAGGACAAAGGAAACATGGAGGTATAATAACAGGCTTCAATTATGCGAGAGGGAGCTGAAAAGAGAGAATGATGATAAAGTGCCTTCCCCATGCCCCCATTTTGATTGAGGAAGAAGTAATGGGGTTAGGTTGCAACAGGAAAGATTGAGGTGGAATACAAGGAAAACTTTCTGCTGGTTAAACTCTAAAATAGATTGCCTAAATAAATTATGAAATCTGCATTATCACCTATGCTATTTTCTAAAAATTTTCAAACTTCTCTAGCTTTGGAAAAGGGAAGTGATCTAAGTGATTCCACATGTTCTTTTCCAGTCCTAATTTTCAAATGATTCTTGGAGTCTGAGATCTGGAATGCAGGGAGGTGTTAAGTAAAGATAAAAGTATTCCAATTATATAAGAAAATTATTTATGTATAGCAAAATGACTATGGTTATTTGCCATATTATGAATGCTTAATGAAGATATTCCTAAATCTTACATATTACTTACTTTGGAATCTGTAGCATTTTTGCTATTGTGGTGTTAAAAAGCTTTCCATCTAATGCACTCACATTCAACCTGCACACACTATCACTCTGTGATTGACCCTTGGTCTAATTTATTTTTCTGTCAGAAGTGTGGTATTTCGGTTGCTGATGGACAATAGTTTGACAATGATTGTATTTTTTACAATTAATTATTGTACTTCTTTATCTTAAAAAACCCATGCCTAATACGAATTATTCATTTAAATTCTGTCACTTGAAGTCTCTCTTCTATGCAGAGAATGAGAGTTAGAGTTTGTATTCTTGGTGTATACGTGATCTTTATATTCAGTTGTCCTAACGCATGGCTTGTGGTAAAGACATATATACTCCTCCAATTCTTTATGACATTTCATTGTACAAATATCTGGTTTGAATTAATTTATATTTGATTTATTGCTTCATTCTATACAAAAATCAGTAATAAATTGCAAAAGCCCTTTATTTTACATTAAAGAAAGTTCCGTGACTGTAATTTATTACAGTTATCAGTTCTATAATTAAAAATAGTTTCAGGTAGTTATTATGTCTGTGAAGGGAAACAGGTGGCCAAAATATAAAAAGAAATTAATTTGTTACCTTACATTATGATATATTTTTAGTTACACAAAGAGATTTGTATTCTTCATTGGAAATAAATAATACCGTGCACTAATTAGTAAGTCCAGACCCTGTGTGCACACTTCTGATTTATAAGCTAAAGCCCCTGTATGGCAAAAAAAAGCGTAAAGCGATAGTACGGTCAAATTACCACGTAAAGTTACAGCATCCTTTTAAAGAGTTGGCTCAATGTGCGAGAAAATAAGAGGAAAGCCAGAGGTGAATCCTGAACCTGAGGGAATAGAGTACTTCTAGCAAAGGGCAGGTTTTGGGTTCCAGACCAAGCTCCAGTTCTGTTTACCCCTTTATCTGACTGATCTTGAGTGCAAATGCATGAGCAGCCCTTGGAGTGCTAAATGCAGTGCTGTCAGCCTGTGCCAGAAATGTTGAAGGAATCAAACCCTCTAGTGATTTAACAGAATGAGGCACACTCACACTCCGTCTTGTGGCGAAGATGAGAGGGGCACGGCTCAGCCTGCTTCTGAGCAGGTAAAACTATCCAGATGTCAGAAAACTAGGAAACCTTGTAATCTGAGATGTTGAAGAGTTGGAGGACAGATGTTCCAAATCACTTTGATTAATTTTTTTAAAATTCTCAAGTCCCATTTGAGGTACAATTTTGAAGACATGGATAACGAAATTCAGTAATAGAAAATTAATCATTAAATATTGGTGGATTTTGGAAATAAAATAGTTCAGACTGTAGATAGGAGTGGATTCTAGCTTTCTGTCTTGGTTTCTCTTAGCATTATACTTTCTTTAAGGTCTTGTTCTGTCACGT